CGGGGGTACGTGTGGAGGGGTGGGGGGTACGTCTGTTGGTGGGGGGGTGGAGGGGGTACGTGTTGAAAGAGAGGGGGCTGAGGGTACGTGGGTTGGGACGGGGTACGTGTGGAAGGGGGGTTGGGGGAGTGCCGTGTTGATGGGGGTGTGTGGGGGATGTGGGGGGGGGTAAGGGTGTTTTGTGTTGGGGGGGGGGGGCGTGTCTGGTGTGTGTGTGTTTGTTTGTTTGTGTTTGTTTGGTTTGTGTGTGTTTTGTGTTGTTTGTTTTACGTGTGTGTGTGTGTCTAATCCGTGTGCGTTTGTGTGTGTGTGTGTCTATCCGTGTGCGTTTGTGTGTGCGTGTTTGTGTCTGTATGTGTTTGCGTGGGTGCCGATACCCGTCCGTCATCGATTGAAGTACACGAGAACACATACACTTCCGTGAGTACATTCAGGTTTACATGTACAATGATGATCTCTAGATAACTGCGTCACTGTCTAATTTGCGTGAGTTTATGTGCACGAAAAGGTGAGGACGACAAATTTGCGACCTACATCAGCCAACCCACTCATGTCATGTACGCAAACGTGTCAAATGTACTGTACATACACCAGCAAAACGCTTTTCTATCTATTGATCTAACTGTCTAAGTTAGTCGACCATACACGCATGAAAAAGTATATAAACAACAACAAAACTCTATCTATCTACTTACTTATCTATCTACCTATCTATTGATCTATCTGTCTAAGTTAGTCAACCATACACGAATGGAAATGCATATAAACAACAACAAAACTCTATCTATCTACTTACTTATCTATCTACCTATCTATTGATCTATCTGTCTAAGTTAGTTACACGATGGAAAAAGTATATAAACAACAACAAAAGTCTATCTATCTACTTGCTTATCTATCTACCCAAGATATTCACTTAAACACACACATTCGTAAGTTTTTCTCTCTGTTTTTCCCTGTCCACTTGTACGACTATAATTGACCCTTTTAACAAACCAATGATAATAATAACAATAATAATATTGATAATAATACTGATAATACTGATAATGATAATAGTAATATTAGTGATATTGCTAATGAAAATAACAACAATGATAATAAGATTATAATGAAATAAAAATCAAAAATAAGAATGATACTTATGATAATAAACAGAGTAAAGAAATAAAAAAAATGAAAAAATATATAATAATGTTAATAAAGAAAATAAATAATGATAAAAATAATAACAAAGAATACAAATAAATAACAATAATCAAAATAACAGCAATAACAACAATAACGATAATTCCAAAAACCTCACCGTTGTAGGAATCGTAGTCCCCGTAGTCGTACTGGTCCCCGAAGTAGTCTGGAACCCCGCCGGCGCCGTAGTGGGTGCTGTAGCCGAGGCCGTCGCAGGATTTGGCTGTTGGAGGGAGAGGGAGAAGGAGTAGGAGGTCCTTGGTCTGTCTGTTTGGTTTCATATATCTGTTTTTTTTCTGTTTTTTTTTTTTTTTGGGGGGGGCGGGGTTTGTTTGTTTGTCTGTCAACTGTTTTTTCTGTTTGTTTGTTTTTTTTTTTTTTTGGGGGGCGAGGGTTTGTTTGTTGTTTGTTTGTTCAATTTTAGTCACTCTGCTCTGCCTTCTTCCTATACTCCCTGTCTTGTAGTCCCTCCCTATTCCTATACTTTTCCCCTTTCTATCCCCTATCCTTCCCCCTACTTCTCCTTCTCCCAACCTCCTCTCCTCCTCTCACCCTCTCTCCTCTTCTCTCTCCCTCTCCTCCCCTTTCCTCCCTTCCTCCCTCCCACCTTTTTACTCATCCCTCCCCTCTCTCTCCCTCCTTTTTCCTCCCTTCCTCTCATTGTCTTACTCTCTCCCTCCCTCTCCTCACTATCTCTCCTCCCTCTCCCTCACCCTTACTTTCTCATCTCCCCCCCTTTCACTCATCCCTCTCCTCTTACTCTTTCACTCTCTCCAACCCTCTCCCCACCTTCTCCCTCCCTCTCCTCCTCCCTCCCTCTCCCTCCCTCTCTCCCTCTCTCCCTCCTCCCTCCCTCCCTCTCCCTCTCTCCCTCTCTCCCTCCTCCTCCCTCCTCTCCCTCCTCCCTCCCACCCTCTCCCTCTCTCTCTCCCTCTTCCCCTCCCTCCCACCCCCCATCTCCCTCCCTCCCTCTCTCTCTCCACCTCCCTACCCACCCCCTCCATCTCCCTCTCCTCCCTCCCTCCCCCTCCCTCTCTCCCACCCCCTCCCTTCTCCTCCCTCATCTCCACCCCTCCCTCTTCTCCACCCCCACCCTCCCTCTCTCCCACCCTCCTCTCCCCCCCCCCTCCCACCCCTCCCTCTCCCTCCATCTCCCACCTCCTCCTCCCTCTCCTCTCTCCCTCCCTCCCACCCCCTCCCTCTCCCTCTCTCCCTTCCCACCCCCTCTCTCCCTCTCCCTCCCTCCCACCCCCTCCCTCTCTCCCTCTCCCTCCTCCCCTCCCTCCCTCTCCCTCCCTCCCCTCCCCCCCCCCCTCTCCTCCTCTCCTCTCTCCCACCCCCTCCCTCTCCCTCCCACCCCCCTCCCTCTTCCTCTCTCCCACCCCCTCCCTCTCCTCCCCTCCCACCCTCTCCTCTCCCCTCCCCTCCCTCCCCCTCCTCTCCCCATCCTTCTCCCTCTCCCCTCCCCCCACCCCTCCCTCCTCCCTCTCTCCCTCCCTCTCCCTCCCTCCTCCCACCCTCTCCCCCTCCCTCCTCCCTCTCCCTCCCCCCTCTCTCCCACCTCTCCCCTCCTCTCTCCTCTCTCCCTTCCCCCCCCTCCTCCCTCCCTCCCTCTCCCTCTCTCCCTCTCTCCCTCCCTCCTTCCACCCTCTCTCCCTCCTCCTCCTCCCTCTTCTCCTCTCACCGTTGATCAAAGTTTCCGCCTCGAGCTCCACCAACTCCCATCTCCACCTCCTCCTTCCCTCTCCTCCTCTCCTCCCACCCCTCCTCCCACCCTCCCCTCTCTCCTCCCACCCTCCTTCCCTCCAACCCTCTCTCCCTCCATCTCCCACCCCCTCCCTCTCCTCTCTCCCTCCCTCTCCCTCCTCCCTCCAACCCTCCCTCCCCCCCTCTCTCTCCCTCCCTCCTCCCTCCCCCTCCCTCTCCCTCCCTCCCTCTCCTCCACCCCTCCCTCCAACCCTCCCTCTCCCCTCTCCCTCCCTCCCTCCCTCCCTCTCTCCCTCCTCCTCCCTCTCCCTCCTCCCTCTCACCGATCGAAGTCCGCCTCGAGCTCCACCAAATGCTCCCACACGGACCCCTTGGGCACGGAGTCCTTCAGGGGGAAAGGGTTGAGGTTGCAGACCGTGATGGCTGGGTATTCGGTGATGGTTTCGTGGACGACCTGTGGGGGAGAAGGGGGAGGGGGGAGGGTTAGAGGAACGACCTGTGTGGGGAGAGGGGGACGAGGGGGGGAGATGGACGGACCTGTGGGGGAGAAGGGGAGGGTGAAAGGTTTAGATTGGATGACTGTGGGGAAAAAGGGAGGGAGAAAGGGTTAGATGGACGACCTGTGGGGGGAAGAGGGGGGGGAGATGGAGCACCTTGTGGCGGGTTGTGGTGTATGGAGATGGACGGTGGGGAGGAGTGGAGGGAGGGAAGGGTTAGATGGACGACCGTGGGGAGAGGGGGGAGGGTTAGATGGACGACATGTGGGGAGAGGGGGGGGGGGGGTAGAAACGACCTGTGTGGGGGGGGGGAGGGGGAGATGGGACGCTGTGGGGAGTGGTTTAAAAGGATGTAGTGTGGGGAGAGGGGGAAAGGAGAGACGGAGTGGGGGGAGAGGGGGGGGAAGGTTAGATGGACGACCTGTGGGGAGAAGGAGGGGGGAAGGGTAGATTGGACGACCTGTGGGGAGGGGGGGAGGGGGAAAGGCTTAGATGGACGACCTGGTGGGGGAGAGGGGGGAAGGGGGGGGGTAGATGGACGACTCTGGTGGGAAGGGGGGAGGGGAAGGGTTAGATGGACGGACCTGTGGGGGGAGAGGGGGGGAAGGCGGGAGATGGACGACCTATGTGGGGAGTGGGGGGAAAGGGTTAGATGTGGTAAAAGAAAGGTTGGAGAGAATGGTGGGGTGTGGGACTTGTGGGAAAGAGAGGATGTTTCCTGGACGACCTGTGGGGGAGTGTGTGGGGTAAAATGGATGACTTGTGGGGGAGTGTGGAAAAAAGTTCAGATGGACGACCTGTGGGAGTGTGGAAAAGGGGAGGATGTGAAGGCTTAAGTGTGGTGCTTTCGTCTACGACCTGTGGAGGGATGGGGAAAAGAGTTAAGTGTGGAGGGGAAAGGAAGGGTTAAATGAACTTGTGTGGGAGTGTCGCCAGGAAAAAGTTCGGTGGACGACCTGTGTGGGAGTGTGGGAAGGGAGGGAACGCTTGAGTGTGGGAAGGGAGGGAAAGGTGAGTTGGGAAAGGGGGGAAGGCGTGAGTGTGGAAGGGAGGGAAAAGCTTGAGGGAGCGCTTGAGTGTGGGAAGGGAGGGAAAGCTTGATGTGTGGGAAGGGAGGAAGGCGTGATGTGTGGGAAGGGAGGGAAGGCGTGATGTGGGAAGGGAGGGAAGGCGTGAGTGTGGGAAGGGAGGAAAGGCGGAGTGTGAAGGGAGGAAGGCGATGGAAGTGTGGGAAAGGGAGGGAAGGCGTGAGTGTGGGAAGGGAGGGAAGGCGTGAGTGTGGGAAGGGAGGGGAAGGGGACGTGAGTGTTGGGAAGGGAGGAAGCTTTGTGGGGAAGTGTGGGAAGGAGAGTTGGAAGGGAGGAAGCTTGAGTGTGGGAAGGGAGGGAAAGCTTGAGTGTGGGAAGGAGGGAAGAAATTGGTGAGGGAAAGGCGTGAGTGTGGGAAGGGAGGGAAGGCGTGAGTGTGGAAGGGAGAAAGGCTGAGTGTGGGAAGAGGGAAGGCGTGAGTGTGGGAAGGGAGGGAAAGCGTGAGTGTGGGAAGGGAGGGAAGGCGTGAGTGTGGGAAGGGACGTGCAGGTGGGAAGGGAGGGAAGGCGTGAGTGTGGGAAGGGAGGGAAGGCGTGAGTGTGGGAAGGGAGGGAAGGCGTGAGGTGGAAGGAGGAAACTGTGGGAGGAGGGAACGCTTGAGTGTGGAAGGGAGGGAAGGCGTTGAGTGTGGGAAGGGGGGAAGCGTGAGTGTGGGAAGGGGGAGGCGTGAGTGTGGAAGGGGGAACTTGAAGTTGTGGTGGAAGGGAGGGAGGGTGATGTGGGAAGGGAGGAAGCTGAGTGTGGGAAGTGTGTGGGAAGGGAGGGAAGGCGTGAGTGTGTGGGAAGGGAGGAAAGGCTTGAAAGTTTGAGGAAAGGAGGAGCTTGAGTGTGGGAAGGAGGGAAGGCGTGAGTGTGGGAAGGGGAGGGAACTTGAGTGTGGGAAGGGACGAGTGTGTGTGAGGAAGGGAGGGAACTTGCCTTGAGTGTGGGAAGGGGAAGGAGTGTGGGAAGGGAGGAAAGCTTGAGTGTGGGAAGGGAGGGAAAGCTTGAGTGTGGGAAGGGAGGGAAAGCTTGAGTGTGGGAAGGGAGGGAAGGCGTGAGTTGTGGGAAGGGAGGGAAGCTTGAGTGTGGGAAGGGAGGGAAAGCTTGAGTGTGGGAAGGAGGGAACGCTTGAGTGTGGGGAAGGAGGGAAGGCTTGAGTGTGGGAACGCTTGAGTGTGGGAAGGGAGGAAAGCTTGAGTGTGGGAAGGGAGGAAAAGCTTGAGTGTGGGAAAGGGAGGGAAAGCTTGAGTGTGGGAAGGGAGGGAAAGCTTGAGTGTGGAAGGTGAGTGGGAAGGAGGGAAAGGGAAGGGAGGGAAAGCTTGAGTGTGGGAAGGGAGGGAAGGCGTGAGTGTGGGAAGGGAGGGAAGGCTTGAGTGTGGGAGGGAAGGGAAAGCTTGAGTGTGGGAAGGGAGGGAAAGCTGAGTGTGGGAAGGGAGGGAAGCTTGAGTGTGGGAAGGGAGGAAGGCTGAGTGTGGAAGGGAGGGAAAGCTTGAGTGTGGGAAGGAATGAAAGCGTTAGGTTGGGAAGAGAATGAAGTGTGATGCTTTCGTGGACGACCTGCGATGACGACCTGGTGTGGGAAGGGCTTAAGAAATAAGGAATAGGGGGAAAAGAGTGAGAGAGAGAGTGGGAGAGGCGAGGAGATGGGAAATAGAGCAGGAGAGGAAAGGGTGAGGGAGGGTTTGAAGGAATAAGGAGAGGGGAATAGAGAGTGAGGGAGAGAAAGGGATAGGAGAGGCAGCGGGGAAGGGAGGGGAAAAGGGAAATAAGAGGAAGGGATAGGAGGATGGGAAAGGGTAAGAAGATAGGAAGAGGAGGAAGGAAAAGGGGAAAAGATAGGGAGCGAGGAAGGGAGAGGACAGCAAAGAATAAGGGAATAGTGGAAGGAGGAGAGGGTAGGAAGAGGGGAGAGGAGGGAGAAAGGGATAGAGGGTGGGAGGGGAGGGGAGGGATAGGGGGTAGGAGGAAGAGAGGAAGGGGGCTAAATATGGAAAGGGGGGGAGATGAGAAATAAGAAATAAAGGGAAAATAGAATGAAAGAAAAAGAGGAAGGGAGGAATTTCAAACAAACACAAATATGCATTTTGCGTGAAACAAGTGGAGTAAACATTTGAATTGATATAATAAAAGAAAAAAAACACTCTACCGTGTTGATACTATGGTGCAAGAATCCACAATGCACAAACAGATTTATTGAAATGAATAATAAACTATTTCAATCAATAAAACTAATGTGTGCTTTATGGGTTCTTCTACCAACTTGATACATTTATATATATATATATATATATTATATATATATATATATATATATATAATATATATATATATATATATATATATATATATATATATATATAATATATATATAATATATATATGACATATATATATATATATATATATATATATATATATATATATATATATAATATATATATATATATATATATATATATATATAATATATATACATATATATATATATATATATATATATATATATATACATATATATATATATATATATAAATATATATATATATATATATTATATATATATATATATATATATAATAAAACTTTACGAAATGAGGAATAAAAGGGAGAAATTGATAAACAAAATGATGTTTGTCCAACGAGAAAGGACTGGATAAACAAGTAAACAATAAATATACCTTACGAGAAACAAGGAAAAGTGGAAAGACGAGTAAACAAAAGACAAAAATATATCTAAAGAGAAAGAAGGAATGGGCAAAAATAAGAAAACGAACGAAAAGGAAAGCAACGGAGAGAAAGAAAAATGTAGAGTAACTTAATGGAAACTTATTATATAAGAAAAAAGATGTATTTACAAAAATAAAGAGGGAAGAAATACGTTAAAAAAACGAAGGCAGTAGAAAGTATTGTGGAAAAAGAATCGAATAAATATAAACAGATAAACAGAGAATCTAGTGAGAGAAAAAAAAAAAGAAAACAGAGAAAGAAAAGGAAATATAAAAAAAAAAAAAGAAGAAAGGGAAGGTACAGGGAGAGCA